GCGTGGTGGGTGTGGTGGGGATTTTAATAAAAATTTAAATTGACCGGACAAGTGTTGACAAGTCAACAAGCTTAAGAAAGGTCTTCTTCCTGTTTTCAATATTACATGAACATAAGAAAAGATATATCTCTGACATCACACCATTAGCAACTAGGAAGGAAAAGGGGCAGCGAAAATAGAGGGCCTACTTTCTCTCCCTCCTAGTAGCACGTTTAGATTTCAAATCACACATGCAACTTGAACTCCACATAGGGAAAACAATGCCCTTTGAACAGCATACCCACCTTTATTGCTATAGAACAATCTAGCCATGCATTTGAATTTGGCTTGTCCATGAACAAGCTACTTTCTTTTCTAAGCTTTCGGCCTCAATTTTTTTGTTAACAAGCAAGAGCCATAAGCAGCTCTCCCTACACGCCCTACCATCTGAGCAGAAGAAGCTACATTTATGCAAGCTCAGCTCCTCCCCCCTGCCCACCCTATCATCTGAGCAGAAGAAGCTACATATATGCAAGCCAACTATCAATGGATACTAAGATTAAATTACCTTATCAACAGACCCAAATTTTAAAACTAAAAAGTCGGTTTCACCTCAGCACACAAGACCATTAAAAAAGGTTTCACATGCATGCCAAGCAAGTATATAACTAACACAGGCAAGTTAATGTAACAATTGCGCTGTGATATACAGTGGTCAAAGAGAGAAATTAATGCTTAGTCTTAAATGTCTTGAATTATGAATGTCTCTTTCTGTTGAATGTCTCTTCCCATATGGGATTATTTATACCTTTCACTTTTGGAAATTAAGGAAATCACATAGGATCCTCAAGTTATTGAAATCGGAAGTGCAATGCAAATAGAAGGAGGAGATGTATGTGGGCAGTTAAGTGAATATCCTTTATCACAAAAGGTTTCAGGTTGAGCTTCTCTTTTTACATTGGTTCTTTTTTTTTCTCTTCTGTAGTTTCTGTGAATTATTTGCTTCCCACTTTCTCTTTCATTCTTAGTTCATCATATCGGATGCTAAATAAAACTACAAAATGGAAGTAACAAAATAAGAAAAGCTCCCACCTGCTCTTTCAATTCACTTATGTTTAAACAAGCTGTTAGTATATTCAGAGCAATATCCATTTGCGAAGTGAGCTCTTTTTCAAAATGACGGCGTCGTTCTGGACGAGCTGCTATCTTGTAGTTGAATGCTTCCTGGTTGTACACAAAAAATAATGTCAATGTAATAGACACCGTAAACGTAGCCACAAGTAAGCCAATTTATTTTAACATTCATTTTTATACTTTTAACATGTTAGGAAAAACTTTTATTTGCCATATTTCCAAGTTCATTTAGAAGGTTTGAAGCTCTCTCCTATAATAAGGCATCAGGAAAACGTCAAATAGGATAATAGCTTTCTGATCAAATGGAACACACATCCAGTTAGTCATCAACTAATTAGACAACTACCAGTTCAGAATTTCAAAAAAAAAAAAAACTCTAGCTGAAGGTGAAATCGGATATATATGCCGAACTATATAGCATGAAAGTAAACCGGGACTTGATATCTTAAACCTAAAATTTATACATACCTCAGGCAAGACAGTAAGTAGCTCCAAAAATCCTGGTATATACTCTGGATGAGAGTTCATCTCATCCCGAAGTGAATTGACGATACCACCATCTCCCCAGTCTTCAGCAGGAACATGTACAGCCAAAGCAGCAACTGCAATGCTAATCTACAAAGCAAAATAACTGAGCAAAAAAGTTTCATTACCAAAAAATTTAGATTGCAAGTGTATGGTACCTGAGTCCGGACAATAGGAGGCCCTTTATGAAACCTTTTCAGCAAGTTCTGCATTTGAAATATCAATTCCATTAAATCTCTACAGCTGTTGCTTAAGCATTATTTATAGCAGTATACATCTCTGTATGTGCACTTAGAACAAACAGAACAGCAACTTAAATACAAAGTTATGTTAACTGAGCAGGAGATGGCAGATTTAAAAACAAATAAATAAATAATAACAATAAGTGATTTACATTTATGAATCAGAATAACAAGAATAAAAAATTAATAAAACAAATGACCATACAAGTTTTATGATTGTACTCCTATACTTTGAAATTATGAAAGTGAGTGCAGCTTTAAATTTTTTTTAAGAAAAAAAGGAATATAATCTATTTTTATAAGACAATTCTATTTGCAGTTGATATGGTGTTTGAATCCAAGCTTATTCAATGGTCAAAAATATACATAAAACCAACTCACGTTTAAAGAATCCCTTAATTGGCGAAAAGCTTCAGATGGTAATTCTTCAAAATCACGTTGTACCTATCAATCAATTGCACCATCACATGTTAAAAAGGATTTTGATCTTGAACATTGAGCAAATAAGTGCATGTTAAACTTACCTTGCTTCTGAGAGTCTGTGAACAAAATATTAAAGTCTCTAGATTGCTAGTGGCATCATGAAGCAAATTATCAGCAACCTAAGAGGAGAAAGAAGGTTAAAATTAAGCATGAGAAATATTTAGATAACGGGAAAGGGAAAATTGCAAAACAAGAAACAAAGATCAAAGTGAAGGAAGAAAAACAAGAAATGAATGTAAATTGTAAGAGGAATTTATGTCACCATAAAATTTAAGACCAGACACTCTATTTTACAAGCTGACCAGACATATTTTGAAAAGGTAGGGTAGCACCACTCAACAACAAAATCGGGGAGATACATTTAAGGTGTTTGCACATGCAACATGAAGGCCTAAGAACGCTCCTAATGAAGATGTGACATAACAGAGAACAACCATGTCAAATAAAGGGGAGGAAAAGTCCAGAAGACAGGGTGGAAACTATCAGAAAGGAACAAGCTGCTACCAATCTTACTTGAGACATGATTCTAAACAGAGCACAATGATGCAAGCAAAATGATCCATGTAGCCAACCCTACATAAGAGAGGACTAAATGTTGCATCTTGTAGCAGTTAACCAACCATATTTTAATCAGACAATCTCAGGATAATTATGGCATGTAGATAGAAGAATCAATGAATACTTTTCAGTAATAAGCCTGTACTTTATATCTTTCAGACAATCTTAAAAGCATTATGTGCCTCATATGAATCCTTCACTTGTCCTTTTCTCCGTTCTCCTTCTTCTAGCATCTTAAAGTCATGCACATATAGCAACGGGCTACAGACAAACTAAAATGGCACACTTATAACCTAGTTGACCTTCAAAGAAAATTTTTGAATCACATCCAAATGCTAAATCATGCTCAATATTACACTCCCCTTGCCAAATGAGCTTAATACAAAGGCCAGAAGGCAGTCACTAAACCTACTAGAGTGAAGATGGCAAGAGGGTGCAAGGGTCAGTTGGCAGTGGCTAACGATACCCATTCCGGAAATTGTCCCATGAGCTTTTTCTATGATGTGAGACTAGGTAAGTTACACAGTACAATCCTTTTCAGTGTGGAATGCTAATATGAATGTGCTTTGATTTAAATCTATCACATAGAAATGTGCTTTTGATTTATCAGATATTAGTTTTGGCTTCCTTCACTAAGATGAGCCATTTTTTGGATATTTATGGTCTATATTGATTATTGAAGCAGTATGCAATGCAAATGATTCGAGTTCACTCCTATTTGAATATTCTATATGGAACTCAAGATATATATATATATATATATATATATAATATCTGATAAGCCTAAAATTTACCATTTTTTCGGAATCAAAATTCTCAATAAAAATTAATAAAATCAAATCCTAACAATTCCTTTCGATTATCATAATTTCCTCAACAGACACCGCAATAAGCACAGTCCAATAAGAAAAACTAATAGTGACAATCATGAAGTGCACCATTTGAACTTAAGCTCGACCAATCAAAATGCAAAAGAAAAAAAATAAAAAAAAAAAGCTAAGCTTTCTGAAAAAACGATGGAAATAATCCTATCCAAAAACACAGCTTTATTTGCACAAATCGAACGAACAAGCTCCCCGAAAAAAGGGATGGAAGAAGAGAGTACCTGCCAAGCATCGATGGTGCGTTGAAAATCTTGCAACCATCGATCAGCTTGCATACGCACCGCATCGTCCGGGTGATGGTACAGTGCGTTTAGGGCTTCTTTCACAGTGCTCTGTAGCTCCATGCTTTGCATTTTTCTTTCTCTCCTCGATTTCAAAATTCAACTGTACACTCGCAGAAATAAGAACAAAGAAAACCAAACTCTCTTCCTCTTTCAGTCTATGTTTGAGAGATTTGATTTGATTTAATTTAATTTATTTATTTTTTTCCCTGATTGCCTTTAAGGGTTTTTTATTTTTTCTTTCTTCCTCTTTCGAGTTTTGATTTGTTTTTTCTAAATGAAATTTTGGGAGGGTTTTTGGCGCCCCTCAGTGACTTCGGGCCTTCGTGTGGGGCTTCGGGGAGCTCTGATTGGTAGTGATGGAGAAAGGGGGTTGGGTTGTAGCCGTCCGATCTGTATACATTTGACTCACTGTCAACCCTATAGGTGAGAAATTTGCATGTTACCATACGTGGACAGTGATTAACGGGTTCCGTCACTCTGATTGGGGCCCCGCTCGGCAGATTGTCAATGCGGGGAGTGTTCCTGGTCCTTTCTTTCCATAATCAAGTTGATTGCAAATCGGTTATATTTTTTTTCTTTCAAAATTTTTGTATTTTATATTAATATTTAGAATAAAATATTTTCATTTCAAGTTTTAATCAAAATTATACGAAAAGATATTAATTTTTAAAATAAACATTTCATCTCAAAAAAATATTTTTTATTAAACAGGAACTTCTAACTATTAATTAATTTTTAGTGTTTTTGTTAATTTGATAATGTAATAAAAATAAAAAAGATAATTTTATCCTTGATTAATTTTTAAAATTACTATTATATAATTTTTATTAATTGAAAATAAAAACTCATAATGCTCCATATTTTTAAGAAAAATAAATTTTTAATTAATAAAAAAAGAAATGACATTTTAATCTTTTCATAACCTCTATTAACAGTGTTTGCACTCTTAGAACAGAATGTCATTTCGAAAACTAATGATCTCACTTGAAATATTGATTAAAACTTAAGAAGTGGAGGTATTTTATCTCAATTTTTAATACACATTGATATAAATAAAAAAAGATTTTGTTAGTTATAACAATATATTTGATTAATTAAATGAATATTATAAGTATAGTATTGAAAATATTTCTTAACTAGTGTGCTTCTTGCACTTTGCCTCAAGAAATTATTGTCATTTTGTTTTTGTATTACTTGAAGCTTTACAAAGTAATTTAGTTATTTAATAAATTTAAAAATTAATATCAAATTTGATGTCAAATGAGTTCTCAAATCATTTGGATGTTAAATTTCTTCGTAATGTAGTGTTACATTCATGGATGATTAATGGTTGAAAGGATGATTAACAAAAAAACTAAAAGAAGGCATCTTTGCAAGATAAAGGCATGAAGAGTCGATCTTGATGCAAAGAGGATTGATCCTTGAAGATAATTTAGCTTAAGTTAACTATTGGATTGATCTAAGATCAACCCTTAAGGGAGAAAAGGTCGATCCCTGCAACATAATTATTAGAATTAGCTTATAGAAATGGTTAAAATCGACCCCTAAGAAAAAAGTCTAAAAAAAGGCAACTGAAAGTGTCTAAGATCAATCCCCAAGCAAGGGAGGGTCGATTCTCACAAGTTGAAACATTTGAAAAAATTTTGGAAACAAGAGAATCGAAACCACCCCCCACCCCCCTCGCCCCAAATGGCTAAGGTCAATCCCTACAACATGAGGCTCAAAAAATAACTATTAGAATTCAGCATGATCAACCCCCAAGGTTAAGGGGTCAATCCTAGCCACCATAAGTAGGAAATATAAGCCTGAGGATGGACCCCCAAAGTTTAAAGGGTCGATCCTAAGGTGAGGAATTTTAAGAATATGATATCATGGAAAGTAAGCATATTCTTAAATTTAATTTCATTTAATTTATTTGTCATGAAAGTATATTTTGATAATAAGACAAAGAATTTGTTTTAAATAACCATTGGTTATCTAGTTATTAAGGTACTATGATTATATTGAGATATTAAAATATATTTATATGAAGAGTCATATATAGGAGACATGTATTTTAATTGAATCTAAAAATTATTCACAACTATATAATAAAGTTGGTCACTTTATTGTGTTAAGGCTATCGTATCCAAAGTATTTCTAACGAAACAAATGTAATTCATTTCAAGGAAATGATGAGTCTCAAATCATCTAAATGAATGACTTTGAGTAATGACACTATAACATGAATTGGAATCATACGAGAATCAAATTTAAGTTTAACCATTGCTTAAATCATGATCTCACACTTATACATTTGCTTATAATAGAATTGAAATCTTGATAGAAAACGAACTCGTGTTTAATCTTTTTATAATCTTTGATACACCATGAGCATGATCATCATAAAGCGTTGATTTAGATTTCGTATGTTGGGATTATAATCGAAATGAACATTTGGGAACATATATCTAAATAATAAAGTTCATAGCATTAATAACACTTTTAGTAATTTCAAAAAGATGGGCAAATAATCTGGGTCCAATAGATTGATGAATTAGCTATTCATTAAATTTGGATACTCAAAAGATTAGATCTAAAGCATTAATCACTAATTAGATGAAATTTGAGACAAAGGGACAAAATTGATATAAAGGATAAAACGGTAAATTCACCTTTTATCATTAAATGGTTATGAAGGTTCACAATACAAGGTTTGTAATTGGACAACTAATAATTAATATCAAATATTGAATTATTTCTCAAAATTACAGTTAATCCAAGAATGCAACCATGAATTTATGGTGGAGTGATTTCATGGTCAATAAGCTTGAAATATTTTTAATAAGATTATGAATAATTCTAAGTTTATTGGAGCTTGAAA